AAGGTTGGACACCCCTGGTTTAACGCCTTTCGTCGTTTTACCTCCCAGAATGAGAAGGTGAAACCGGGTGTCGTTTACGTGGGTCACCTCCCGAGAGGCCTCTACGAGGCTCAGCTCCAGCAGTACTTCAGCCAGTTTGGAACAGTGACTCGGGTCCGCCTTTCGAGGAGTAAAAAGGTAAACTTTGCTTCGATTTAATTAATTAGTTAATAATAATGAATATATATGTATGTATGTATATATGTATGTATGTGGTATTCAGCTTTGTTCGGGTATTTTCCCACGTCATTATAGTTCTGCTTTTAAAGTTGTAGCAACGTTTTGGCAGAATCTGATCTGCCATCATCAGGCTTCTGTATTGTGTTCGTCTGTGAGTCAGACTTTTACAGTTGTTTCTGACTCACAGACGAACACAATACAGAAGCCTGAAGATGGCAGATGAGATTCTGCCGAAACAACTTTAAAAGCACAACTATCATGACGTGGGAAAATACCCGAACAAAGCTGATTACCATACATATAAATACCCGTGAAAACTTAAGAAAACAAATACACACACATGAAATACCACTCACGTATCATCACAAAATCTCCAAAACTATAAAGCCTACAAACTTGAAATTTGGCACGCATTTTCCTCTTGGCTTCTAGGTGATCACTAAGAAAGGATTTTTCGAAATGACCATCAGAGCATTAGTATTTCCTATATTATTATTAACACGCTCTGATGCTAAGGAGTTCTACTCCCCCTCCCCACCTGAAAAGAAATCTGTTCCAAAATACAAAACACAAGCAGAGGAGAGGAGTTTCAAGTTTCAGTTTCACAACACCAAGAAGCTTTAGTGCAGAGCAGTTGAGTTAAGCCATGCCCAGGCTCCTTGCTGTCTCCTCCTTGCTCACACAGCAAATACTGTTTCAGTTTCCAAATAGCCAACTCTCGCACACTGACAGGACGCTAGCCAGTATGAATACCGATGGATGCTGGTAGGCAGTGGCAGAGTTTTTTCCCCTTATTATCTCAAAAACTAATAACTAATGACCACATAGTTTCGTACCAAAGCACAGATATAGAGCTAGTCTATTTATAAATTTCACGTTTCTTAACTGCCCATCTCCCTCAGATAATGCATGTACTGGTGGTCCTTGACTTACAACAGTTGTGTTAGTGGCCGCGGCACTGAAAATGGGACTTGTTACCGTTTTGTCATAGTTAACCTTTGCAGCATCCCCCGTGGTCCTGTGATAAAAATTTGGTGACTTTTGGCCATTGACATGTTTCTTCTGAGAGTTGCGCTGTCCTGGGTTACGTGGTCACCATTTGTAATCCTCCCAGCCAGTTGCTGACAAGCAAAGTCAGCAAGGAAAGCCAGATCCGCTTAATGACTGAATGATTCACTTTTCAACTGTGGCAAGAAAAGCCATAAAATGTGGGGGGGGAACTCGCTTAACAAATATCTCACCCTTACCAACAGAAATTTTGGACTCAATTGTGATCATAACTCGAGGACTGCCTTAGGTGGAGAATTTAATGCTTATTTTCCCCACAATGACAATCCCTGTGAGATGGATTGGACTAAGAAAGAATGACTAGTCCAAAACTTCATATAGTCATAGGGTACAAAGAAGAAACCACAAAGTGTCAGAGAAAGTAAAACAAAGCCATTTGAAGCAATTAGAACAATTACAAACTATATGTGGGAGAGTGTATTTAGAGTTCAACATACAATATAACCATTTTGCAGTTTTGATTCTGATGTAATCTCTTAATCTAGGACTCTTACTGCTTGCTTTTCCAATGGCATTCCTCCTTACAATAATAAATATTTTAGGCTGGAAACTACCAAGGGCCCCTTTGTAGAGATTCTCAGTCATCCATGATTGTCCCAAAGATGCTTTTTCGGGCGGAAACTAGACTTTGTTTTTTCTTCGAAGGCATTTCACTTCTCATCCAAGAAGCTTCTTCAGCTCCTGTCAGAACTTCAAAGAAAAAACAAGAAAGTCCATTTGCCTCCTGAAAATGCACCTTTGAGACAAGGACCCCTTTATTTTCTGCAATAAACTACCATGGTGCTACCCAGTGCACAGTATTCTTCTGTAGAGTATTGAAAACATGGATTGGGTTCTTTCTTGAAATGACTTGGCAGAAGTCCTGATCAATCAGGCTATATTTTCTATTGCATCATTTTTAAAAATAGCTGAAAATAAACTCCATAGACAAAAAAATTCCTTACTAATTTTAATTAGCTGTAATGAGGCTTCCCTGTTGTTGCTTTAACAAAGTCAGTGCCTATTGGTAATAAGTAAAAGCACTTTTCATTTTATAGCTCAGAAAATGTTTTTTGGATTAAGATTGTCACTGGGTGACTTTTGGGTTAGGTGTTCTCTTAACCTAACATACTGCACAGTATGTAAAACAAATTGGAAAAAGGAATGCTTTCTATCATGCCATGAGCTACTGAAAAAGAGGCAAAAATATATCTACTAATGGTAATAAAGCAAAATAATACTTCAACTATATAAAATTATTGTATTTTTAAAAGATTTTATATCCTTCTCTTTAATAGACAGGAGGTAGCAAAGGTTATGCATTTGTGGAATTTGAATATGATGAAATTGCAAAGATAGCTGCAGATACCATGAACAATTACCTTGTCCGTGAAAAACTCCTGAAATGTGAGTATATCCCAATTTGTTAAATGTAGCAATTCCATCAAGGAGTCAGTTATGCTGAAAATTATTCCCACTAAAACTCTCCTTTTTTTCCTTTCAAATTCTTTCTCTCATCTCTTTCTAATCTGTATGTCTCTCAGAATTTGCAACTGTTCTTTTTTGCAAGGATTATTATTCCCTGATATATTTTATCTGCCTCTTTTACATAATGATGAGCACCTGGGAAGGACCCTTCCTATCACTGTGTGAATGGTGTGGGAACATAAAAACAGCTGTTTTTCATAGCTTGCCTTGCAAGATGAGGGTAACTTTCACCTTTGTGAGATTCTGAAGAGAAGGAACAACTTGATCTGTTTGAATTATTTGTGTGGCTACAAGCACCAGAATTGTTATAGTTAATTTATGTCATATATTGGATTAGTATATTTTAGACGTGTCCTCAGCCTTTGGGATTGAGGCCATCAATACATTTTATAAATAATGCAGTGCAATTAAATCTTCTGCATTGAGATTAGGCATGGTTGCAGCTTTATTCCCCATTACGCTATCTGCCTTGAAATGTAATCCAAACCCAATATAGATTTTCCTCTTTTTTTAATGCTTACTCAACTGACTGTGATAGATTACATTTGTCTTGATAGTTAGGTTTGAAAAAAACGACGGAATACTCTTCTTCCCAGAATTAACAGGGGGAAACAGTTGGACACCACACAGCATTCAAATCAAGCTTGATGTGGCAGAAGTATTTTATTGCTTTATCTGTTTGTACAGGTGCTTGGGAACAATAGCAAATGAATTTATTTCTTTATGGAAATTATATACCCCCTCCATCTAGCCTGGCTATAGGGGTTTACAAGGACAATAATAATACAGTATTATAATATACAAAAATAAAATGCAGTGTAATAATAGAGGATGAAATTAATCATATTTATTTAGCCAATTTGTATGGCAAGCATTGGTGGGGACGGACAATATTAAAGTAAACCAAACATTATGACCAAATATTGAAATATATAGCATATGCGCAGGAGAGAGAGAGGTGCTACATGCCACAAGGGGAAGCATTGATCCTGCATCTTTGTTTGACTGGATCCATAATGCATTGGTATTCTGTGTTTAGTATATGGACTTGAAGAGAACAATTTCTATTGCTGTTTAAAAGATTTTTGAAGAGGACACGGTGGAAACTTTTATAATGGCCTTGTTCTGTTTCCCATGGCTTCTATTGTCTTGATTGCATGTTATAGGTGAGTTTATGCCAGCAGAAAAAGTACACGAAAACCTCTTTAAAGGGTCTGAGCGAAAGTTCAGAAAGCCATCATATCCAGCCGTAAAACGCTACAACCGGAACCGAACAGCAGAGGAGGAAGAAAAAATGGCTGAGAGGCTGTTGAAAAAGGAAAACAAGTTGCGAAAAAGGCTTGCTGAGAAAGGAATAGATTATGATTTCCCTGGATTTGTAAGTGAATGTTCTTTTTTCCCCCCTGAATAATACTTAGTATAATGAGAAGAAAGAGGCATAAACACAATTATTGCATACTGACTGTAAATTTAAATGCCTTCAGTTAGAATACAAAGGTTATATTGTCACCAAACAATTGGAGACGTGAAATCATTTGACACATGATTCAGACAAAAGCTTGTGGTTCCCAATGGACTCAAAAGATTGGCAGCAGGGTTGCCAGTGCTGAGTTTTTAAACACAGGTGTGGGTTTTTCCATCTCTGTCTGGGTTTCTAGGATTTTAAAATGTAATGAAATCATAAAGTTTTTTATATATTTGGATTGTACGTATTAGGTAGATAAAAATAATTTAGTTTAAAACTGATTTATTGAGGGGCTTTCTAGATTTTTTTGTCTAGAATCTGGGTTTATTTGAGTGTGAAATCTTGTGGTTTTTGTAGGAAACCCTATTGGCAACTCTAATTGGCAGCCACAGAAAACTTTCTTAAAAAGACACGCGTGTCATGCAAACCAATATTAATCTTTGCTTCACCTTGTTTTTAATCACCCTGGTTTTTTTCCTGAACTTCATAGTTTCAAGGCAAATTCAATATGTGAACTGTTTTAAAGATTATTAGTTAACATATATTGTTAAAAGTTGAATTATGAGGTAACCTTAACACTAAGATTCTCTTTCTTAAGAGTGCTCAGATGCCTCCAATAAAGAAAAAGATGATTTCAAAATCAGATTCTAATGAGGATGCATCAGTGGATGATGAAGTAAGTGCAAGTTTGGGGTTTTGAAATCTTCTGAATTATAATGGGCCTTTTTTATCTGAAGAAGGGAAAAATACTGGAATACAAGTAGTCCTTGAATTACAGCCATAATTGAGTCAAGAATTATGACTGCATGTTGTACTGGTCATTAAGCGGGTCATGCTACTGTGCCCAGTTTTACAAACCATTTTTAAGGCAATTAAGCAAACCTATTGTATCCAATGGCGTTTATTTTTCTTTTCCAGAAATTAGAAGTAAATGCCAGTTTCTAGCAAAAAGTCATAAATCGTGATCATGTGAACCACAAGATGCTGCATAGGTGGCCATGAATGTGAGCCAGCGATTGGTCGTAAATAGAGGACTACCTGTATAGTAACTAATATTTATACAATGGTGTTTCCTTGAATGGAAGGACTTTATGCTGATCTTCATGCCTGCAAAGGGTTCATTTGAGAAATGGTACAGGCCACCAATGAAATTGTTACTTTTGGCCTGTGATTTCAAAAAGATTTCTGGGATATAAAAAGGTTAATAAAGTTACTTGTTTGCTAACTCCACTTTAACACTTGACACTGAATGCTTATACAGTCATAGCTTGGCACTCAATTGCTTCAAAACTCATCAAATTCAGTATTCAATGTATTTTTTGAAGCCGAAATCTTGTCCCAGTGCTCATCTTTCTCCTGGTAGTTGACATGCAAGGAAGAACTTGCTGGTGTCAGCTGCCTCGTGCCTTGCTATTTCTTCCAGTCGAAAAAGCAGGTCACGTGGTTTTCTCAGTACAGGTTTTAGTATTCATCTTCCAGAATGAATTACCAACAAGGACCGAGGTATCACTGTATTACGCTATACTAATGCCAACACTTGTGTGTTTATCTAATTCCTAGAGTCCTGTTAATAGTTCTGTTCTCCTTTGTTGCCTTTAGCCACCTTCTATTGCTATCAGCTGCCGAATGTTTAGTTTTTCAGCATCTCTGCTGGGTCGTGAAGCTGATGAATTCAGTTTTCCTTTTCGGCTTGTCAGCTGTTGACTTGCTGAAGTCCAAGTTTTTTCCTCTTTGCCTACTAAGCTACCCCGCTTCCTCCCTCCCTGCTCTACCATAGGACTCAAATTGTCCTCCGACACACCCACACCGGAGTGCTAGCAGTATTTTCCCGTTATATTTGGAAACCAGTGCTCTTCAAATTGCCTTAAAGTCCCAGAGAAAGGAAGGCTCCTGAAAGACTTTGCTTCCCACAATGCCCTCTTAGGATGAAATCCTTGACTGCTTTCTTTGTCCTTTTCCTGGGTGTTCAGAAGGGACATACTGGGAGGCTTGGCTCACCCTATAACATTATTTCCCCTCTCTCTGCTGTATCCCTTCCAAATAATACAGACTTAGGAATTTAGTCATGAAAAAGAGGATAATGAAGTTACCATATTGAATTAAATTTAGAATATTTGGGGGAAATGTTTCTCAGTATTTTCTTCAGAAACTACTAACTGTGAAGAGTTTATCAGTTTTTTGTCTTCTATTGTCCATATTATGACCCGGGTAAAAAGCTTTCCTGTTTCCACCATTGGCCACAAATATTTCAGCTTTTTGTGAAAAATATACTTTTTAAAATAAGCCTGCAACGGGTTGTTCTTAATTCAATAATTTTCTTCTCCGCTCTGTCCAGGATCCCACACCAGTGTGTACGCCAACATTTTTTGAGCGCCGAAAATCTCAGCCGGAAGATAATGAAGATGATGAAATAATTTTAAAATTACCACCTACGATTACAAAGTCTACCCCGCAAGAAAACAAAGTGGCAAAATTACAGAAAAAAAGTGCAAATAAAAAATGTAAATCTTAACACTTTATCATAAGAGCGTTGTTGTTGTTTTACTACACAAGATGTTTCGCAGTTCCAGGGAGAAAGACCTTTTTAACAGAGTTCCCCAACCTTTCCAGCTTTGTGGACCGGCACGGGATGGGGAAGAGGGATGGTTCCACACGAGTGGCCAGCAAGTGCACACACAGCTCCATTTGTGTGAGCGGTGTGCATGAACGCCGCTCAAAAAATGGAGCACGAGTTCACGCGCTCGGCTGCTGCTTGTGCAAGTGGGGATGCCCACATGCCCAAGTAGTGCAAATGGGTGTGGAGCCTACTCAGCTGATCCTGAGGACACAGACAAACCCCCAAGTGGCCTCAACAACTCTAAAGATGCAAATGACCAGCTGGCTGCAAGAAATATTGATCCTTCTATTCTCTGCCATCCAGTCAGAGCTGAAGAAGTTTCTTGGACGAGAAGTGAAACGTCTTCAAAGAAAAACCAGAAAGTCCAGTTGCCTCTTGAAAGAGTACCTTTGGGACAGGAGTCACTAATGTTCTAAGAACTTCCTTCATTGGCTCTCCTCACCACCAATAACCTTCCTAAGCTTTGATATTTAAACCAAACCCTTAGTTCAGCCCTAAGCCTTCTAAAAGCCATTCTTTTACATATCCCTACATCTCATTAAACATAAGCGCCTCTGCTACAGAAATATTTTTAGATAAGTTCTGAGGTTTTTAGTCCTGTAAAATGGAACTACTTGATATCAAAGGTGTCAGGAATGTTTCCTTGTCTTTCTACGGAGAAAGTTTGAACTGTGGGTGGACTTCGGTGAGAGAGAACGAACACAGAATATTTGGAGAAAACATTCATCTTCTCTACCTGAAATTGAGAATAGCAATAGCACTTAGACTTATATATCGCTATACAGCCCTTTAAGTGATTTGCAGAGTCAACATATTGCCCCCAACAATATGGAGCCTCATTTTACCAACCTAGGAAGGATGGAAGGCTGAGTCGATCTTGAGCCTGGTAAGATTCAAACTGCCACATTGCAGGCAGTTCTCTAACCACTATACCTCCCCGGCTCATAAGTTCAACAAACTGAATCAAAATCAAAAGCCTTGAATGATGCGCAGCAGAATTTTCATTAATTGGATTTCAGTTCAGCTAAGTGGTCACATGTGGAAAACAAGATACATCTAATATAGTTAGCCTTCAGCCCAGTGTACTAGTTGGTCCTGTGGAAAGCAAAAATTGGAGGAGGTTATATTGGATAATTGTTTTTCTATGTCAGTATTGCCTTGCCTTGAACCCCTGGTGAGGTGTAATCCAGGACTCTTCAAAGCGTACAAAGATTTGCGTTTTGCACTACGGTGCCAGGTTTTGGTTGTTTAATCCTTACTTCAAACAGTTCAATAGTTACGAACTATTGAGGAGGCAAAGTGAACATTAGGCAAATCAAAAATGTGTGTGTTGATACTTTATTACAACAATTGTTAACAGCTTTCAAGACAAATTCTTTGTGTGTCTAATTACACTTGGCCAATAAAGCATTCATTCATTCCTTTGGTTGCAACATGGTTTACTTTCCAGGACCATTGGAATAACTTGTATTGATGGCCAAAACAAGCCACTTGATTGTCCCAAAGATGCTTTCTTTCAAAAGGCAACTAAACTCTTTTTCCTTGAAGACATTTCACTTCTCATCCAAGAAGCTTCTTCAGTTCTGACAGAATGGTGGAGAATATAAAGATTTATTGTGTATGCCTTGCAGTCATCTACTTGTGAACCCTCTTTCTGAGAGTTGTTGAGGCCACTTGGAGATTTATCTAAGCCCTCAGGGTCACCTGAATCCTGTAGTCTGCAAACGTCCAAGCAGCCTCAATGACTCAGAAAGAGGAATAACAACCAGACAACTGCAAGGAATATAAATTCTTCCATACTCCACCATTCAGTCAGAACTGAAGAAGCTTCTTGGATGAGAAGTACAACGTCTTCAAGCAAAGCAAGAAAGTCCAGTTGACTTTTGAAAGAAAGCATCTGTAGGACAACCATGACCTGGATGACTGAGAATCACCATAGACATAAATCGCTTTGAATCCCACCATCTTTGTTCCCTGGGTTTGTGACCATCCAAATAGCTGTCTTCATTGTGATGTTTTTATATTGGGAAGCAATGGCTGTAGTTTGGGAAGTAATGCTGAATTTGGCCTCCAGAGTTTTATTCTGCTAATGACCAACAAGATGTGTATAGGAATCAATTGCAGCACCAGAGTGCAGTGACCTAACTTCTACTTGTACTTCCAAGCCACTGGCATTTAGAGATACAGATGTTAAATGCAATAATGATTTACAGATACAATCAAATTTTAATTTAATGGCATGTTTGAGTCACAGCACTGGCGTCACCTATTAAATTTAAAAAGCCCATTGCATCTAAATGCGAGTACTTTGCCTAATCAGGTACAGAAAGTTGTTTGTGTAATTATGCAAATGATGTCAATTTGCTAGAGTGCTTCTAACAAAGTGATTTGGAGAATCAACTTTTTACTTCGCCAAATTACCTGGGAATTGGAAGGAATTGACTGTTGAGAAGAATATGCTGTGAACAACCAGCAAATAGGGGTTTCAAATAGCTACAGACTATCACTGTGAAAAAGCTATATCTTCCACCTGGTGGAGGCTGCCCTGCTCTGTTGTAAATTGTAGGAAGAAAAATCCAGTCTGGTTTCAAGCGGGGAGAAAGGTGCTGGAAATAAAATGAAGGTTGACTGGCTGCAAGGAAAGAAGGTTTTTTTTTGGTTTCCAGAAACTTCAGTGACAGCAGCAAATGTTTCTGAGGTGGCTGACCCCTTGGCATGGGAATGGATATACTGTATTTTTATAGGGTTTGAGATGCTCCTGGGGGTTGTGCAATTATTGAGCCTTATGGCTTTTGCTATTCTAATGGTGGTGGGTTAATCCTATTATGTCCTAGAGATCATGTCCTGTTCTTAGAATTTGGGTGGGGGATGTAAATTCTCAATCCCAGCCTGGGGGAGCTGTGGCTGAAGGTGTTTTGTTTATAAATAGGCTGGCTTGGATTTCTGAATGGATACAAAATCTGCATTCCTAAAGACTCTTCTGCTCTCTCCTGCTTGAGGCTGTTTTACTATGCAGGAAGACTGGGGTTGCTTCCTGCCTTTAAGAACATGTTTCTCCATTTCTCCTTTGAGGAAACATAATATTCTGCCTCTTTTAATATTTCCCAAAATATTTCATTCTTGCAGGGAGGGTGGGGACTTCTTACAGTTGTAACTAAGGATGTGCAAAATGAAGCACAGGAATGCTTCCCAAATACTAGCCAAGGAAATCAACTAAGTTTGGATAAATTCTAATATGCACGTTCCTTAACATCCCAAATTAAACTTTTTGCATGATGTGGCTAAGTATGGTTTCTTGGGCTAGTTGGACAGATTAGTGCAACATAGTGTATCACAAAGTAATCTCACACACTGACTAGGTTGGACAACAATTAATAAACTAATAAATTTGTAATAAACAGTGCCAATCAACCCCCCCCCCCCTTTTTTTTTTTTTGGCTTGCTTGTCATGGATCACAAGCTAGATAAGGTGCTGGCTGGCTCGCCTCAAAAGCCAAAAGACACTTCCAGACCACGTAGCAAGACTTTCAAAAACAAATAAAAAACTGCAGCCTTTATTTCAACTACCTAATATAAATCAACAGTCCTTGCATTTTATTTCATTTTTGGCCAGCTTTTATCCAAGGGCTAACCAAGTTCAGGCATGCTTTTATCAAGATAACAGGGACTGCCTTATACAGCTCTTCAACAAATGTTCACACCTATTTTCAAAGAAAACATCTGCTGTTGTTTTAATTTCAGGTTTTAGTTATCTGCAATACCAACATGAAGGGGAGGTCATTTATATGCCTTCATTGGAACAACAAATTAGGATATGTATAGGTAAAGGTAAAGATTCCCCTTGCACATACGTGCTAGTTGTTTCCAGCTCTAGGGGGTGGTGCTCATTCCCATTACAAAGTCAAAGAGCCAGCACTGTCTAAAGACGGCTCCATGGTCATGTGGCCGACATGACTAAATGCCAAAGGTGCAGGGAGCGCTGTTACCTTCCCACCAAAGTGGTCCCTATTTTTCTACTTGCATTTTTACATGCTTTCAAACTGCTAGGTTGGCAGAAGCTGGGACAAGTAACAGGGGCTCACTCCATTACACGATGCTAGGGATTCGAACCGCTGAACTGCCGACCTTTCTGATCGACATCGGATATGGATAAGTAGGCTTAATTCTACACTTCACCATATTCATGTCCATTCATCAATTTTCTTCCATGAAGATAAGTGTTTTGGAGAAGCTGCTCTGATGAACTGAAGTAGAGAACGGCTAGCACTAGAGGGCAGATTCATTCCACTTTAAACAAGATATCCCCCTGCATTCATAAAAAGAGTATATAGAGATTAAGCAATAACATATTCAAAGAAAGATCCTGGAAAAGAATGGATTCCAATATCTGGGTGAGGGAGACAGAAAGAGAAAGGAAAGGAAATAGTAGACACTTTAGCCAAAATATTGACTAGCTGTGGTTAAGTTAAGCCAACTTTCTGAGTCACTTGCTGGTAATTACATCGATCATTTATGCAATTTGCATGATATGAGATGGAAGCTCCCTCCCCCAGAGAATGAAATATTTTGGGGAATATTAAAAAAGGAAAAATATTATATTTCACCAAAGGAGAAATGAAGAAACATGTTCTTAAAGGCAGGAAGCAGCTCCATTCTTCCTGTATAGTAAAACAGCCTCAAGCAGAAGAGATTGGTCTTTAGGAATGAATATTTTGTATCCATTCAGAAATCCAAGCCAACTTATTCATAAACAAAACACCTTCAGCCACAACTCCCCCAGGCTGGGATTAAGAATTTACACCCCTCACCCAAATTTTAAGAACAAGACATGACCTCTAGGACATGACCTCTAGATCATAGGATCAACCCACCACCATTAGAATAGCAAAAGGCACAAGGC